CTTTTTATCATTTACGATTGGATAATTTAAATAATATCATTCGTAGGATTTTTCAAACAAATATGTTTTGGAAAAACATCTACATATAAGTGTATTTATATTAAGTAAAAGTATATAGAAAGTAATTAACATTTATATTTATTTATTTTCTTTTTATAATTATTCATAAATTCATATTATTCGAAAAAGAAACGAACTCTGTGGCGAGTGGATTTTTATCTTTTCATAAAATATAGAATAAATTTATCCTTTCTGATATTTTGAAAGTACACGCATGAGAGATTTGCTAATCCCAATTCGTCTTTTATCGTTACGATTGAAACAACATTTAGATTCAACAAAATGCGTAAAAAAAAGATTAATTAACATTTCCTATTTATATATTTATTTATTTGTAATTTGAGCAAATTTACGTAATTTCAAAAAAAAAAAAAAACAGAATCTCCAGAGAAAGAATTGAACTGTATCAAATGGATTATTATTATTATCATCATTATTATTATTATTATTATTATTACTATTTTGTAAAGAAAAGTAAAGAATAAATGCTACGATAATACAAAAAAGAAAAAAAAAAAAGAACTAAAGAATCTTAGACGAATAAAATAGCATAACGATGAAAGTTCGCTAACTTTTCGAATACTTGATGTATGTATGCATATCTATTGCATATATATATATATATATATGCAATACGTTACGTCATTATAAAATTGAATAGTATCAATCCAATTATAAGTTGAAGAAAGACTGCTGGCAAGGATAGTAGAAAAATCGATTGCACCTATCGATAAGAGGCAGAGGGGCATGCTTCTGGATAAAGTTTGAGATTAATTAATCGATGCTGTCTCGGTGAGTGTAAAGAACGCTCTCTGCAATGAGGTAAAAAACAAAAAAAAAAATATAAAAAAAAAAAAAAAAAGAGAAAGAGAGAGAAGACTTGGTCGTTCGTTCTCTCTTTACTTCCCTACTCGCTTAATAGAACTAATTACTTAATGCTTCCTGACACGCGGATCAGTTTAACTTTTACCGCGTTCAACTTACTACCACCACAGTCACTACAAGCATCTCCCTTGACCACCCTTTTCCTTCTACCCTCCCTCCGTCATCCTCTCATTCCTTTTCCTGCTCTTCTTGACCCCCGCTCCCCTCCCCGCTCCCCCACAACCACCCTTCTTAACGGCACGATTTTAAACTCTGATAAACCATGGTTCTAAGTTTGGAGTCTTCGTCAGTAAATTCGATTCGTCTGAATGTTTTACCTTATCTCGTGGTTAGAACTTGATTCATTTATCTATTAGGGTGATCTTATTAGCAAAGAGGAAAATATAAATTGTACATGTGTAATGAGAAGTTAATTGGTTAATGTATCTTTTTTGTCATTTAATTTTTTTTTTATTTGGAATATAAATCGGGGTTATATAATATTAATATTTATTATTTAGGGTATTTGTGATTTTTATCTATATCAATTTTTCAAATACACGATACAGTATGTGCGTATGGATATGCATGTGTATGTGTGTGTGTGTGTGTATAAAAAAAGAACAAGCTGCGATGCGACATTTGGAATATTTCAATTTTTATTATCGACATGGTAAGGTTACGTCAGTCAGGCTTATAGGTTTGCAGTGGAATCTAGGAAGAATCTATGAATTCTAGGAACAAACGAAAAATTGAATATTCTTATGGGGAAGTATAATAGTATAGTAAGAAAAATAGTAGGTTCGACGACATCGACTTCCGTGAATGGGGGGATATTGAATTCTAGAGCACATGAATCATTTTTATCGTGGGATTTTCTTTATCTTTCTTTCTCTTTTTTTTTTTCAAGGTGAATTTTCATGAACAAGGAAGATCATACTTTTCTATCAAATATTCAATCGAAGTTTACAATGCGTACACGTTCGACGTGTATCAATCTCGTTGCGTTTTCTTATTCTTGACTTCCACCCCTTTCAACCCCCTTCTATTTTGACATAAAACTGTTATTTGTTAATAACTTTTATTTTATTGTTTTTAAATATGACAATTTAATATTGTCTTTTGTGAAATAATAAAATTTACATATAACAAAAATAATAATATAATAAATAATAAATAATAATAAAAAGATAAATGCAAATTTGGACAAAATAAATTTAAATCTATATTATTTATAAATATTGGAAATAATAAAAAATAATAATAAAAAGAAAAATTCGAAAATATCCAATTGTTTAATTCATTGACTGACAATGAGAAGAATAAAAACCATATGCATAATTTCCTGTATTAGTTAATATATATTTTTTTTTTTTTTTGAATATGAATGAATAAACAATAAAATGAACGATAAAGAAAAAGAAAAAAAAAAAAGATAAAAATTATCGAACATTTTTTTTGTACTCACACTTTTACTATTCTCATTGTATTTATGTTCAATTTTTTTTTTGTCCTATCTTTTCCTTTTCCTTTTCATTTTCCTTTTTTTTTTTTTTTCCCTATTTTCCGAGTCGACGATGATGAACGAGATAAAAATGGGGAAGATATGAAAAAAGATAAAAAAAAAAAAAAAAAATATATATCCGACGATGATACTGTAGCCTTTGTCGTTGTTCAGTCACGTCGAGAAAATTTAAATAAATAACCTACAGCTTCGCGAACGATTTTTCATCGGTGCAACGAGACGTATCATACGTTGAGTTGAATTCACAACTAATCCGATGCGGAAAGGATAACCATGTTGGTAATGGTAATGCATGTTACGTTTTTAACATTAACGAATAAGTTTTATATTTAATATATCTTCGAACAATCTAATAAAGATCAAAATAATAAGATTGTTGTGTCTTAATTTATAATATTATACTTTTTAGTTAAAAGTCATACATAATCGTTGTTTTCACATTTTCCGGTTCATCTTTTATCATTTTTTGATTTTAATCATTATTTTTTAAACAATTTAATTATATTATAAGATATGCATAAAATCAAAGGAGTTTTTATTAACAAATTTTTATTCCATAATTTCTCCTGTTATTTTGAATCATTCACAAGAACTACAAGTACCTTGTGTACTACACAAATATACTTATTTACATATGCATATACACACATACGTTGGAGAAAGAAATGTTTCCTTTTCGTTTCTTTTTTTAAAAAGAGGAAGAGTCAATGAAATTTTTAAAACGCGAGATTTTCCCGTCTTCTTTTTTCACTCGACACAAACTCGTAACAAGCTTTTCAAAGAAGCAGTCATTTTAAATAACGCGTGGAAAATGTGAGCTCAAAAAAGAAGAAAAATTAGAAATAATAGCGAACAATCTGTCAAAGAATCCGACAATCTTATGGTAATGCAATTTTTACACTACCTTCGTCATTCTTAAATATTCAAGTATATATATTGTATTATTAATTATTATTATATTTATTATTTATATTATATTATTTATTTTATAGCGGGATTTGGTATTTGCGGCAATGAATTTTCGAGTTCCCTACGCCAGCTAATATTAATAATAATAACAATAATAATAAAATTAAATATATATATATAATATAATATAATATAATAAATAAATATATAATAAAATAGAATAAACGTGTTAAACATTATAATATATTATACATTATTATTATTATTATTATTATTACTATATTAAACAAATGTTTATTACGTTTGTTTTTAATTTGTCGTTTCATTAATAAAACGGTTGACAATTATCCATAAAGTGTCTTTTCATATTTTCTATTAGACTAATCAAATGAAAACGAAAACAAGTGGACGTTGAAATGTGAAATCATTTTAGAATCGATTTTTCTTTCTTTCCTATATTAATCTCTCTCAGTATAACACAGCATGTAACATCGTGTTCCATGTCAAAACCAGAAAACTGGGCTTGCGAATAGCAACGTGGGTCGATTCTTCTTTGTTAACGTGAAATGATCACGTTTGTTTCATTTCTGTTAAAATTCTTGTTAGTGTTGAAGGGCATGAAGGACTATACGTTATACACAACTTAAATGTCTCGAAAAAGTGATTCATCCTTTACTTTATTCTATCGTTAATAAAATTTTGAGTTAAAGAAATACTTAAATGTTTGTCTTTTGATTTAAAAATACGTAAAAAGGTAAATTTAGTTATATAAAAGTGAAATTTTTTTTTACCCGATAAAATTAAACCGAATATTTTATAATAAAGATAAATGTTTAAAGTTTTATTCAATGATTTTAACGTACGTGGATGTAATAAAAAGATCTGAAATAAAATGATTGCACTAAATATTATAATTATTAATTAAAAGAAAACATTTGTGGTAAATAAGAATTTGAAAGATGTTTAACAACGTCAGTCTTTAAACTCTAAGATTTTTCAAAGTTGCGATCCAAGGTATTACAGATTTAGAGATTGCAGAAATTGTAGTAAAATGAAACAATTTTTGGACTTGCAACGATCAAAACTTAATTTAAAATCAGTTAGTAGTAGTAGTATGTCAGTAAGTTTATGATATAGTTAAAGAGAATGTAATATAAAGTTTATATCAATGATCATAAAAATATTTGTTCTGATGAAAAGAGTCGTCAAGTGGAAGTTGAAGTTAAAAAGTTGGAGTTTAAAACAACGAACTTTTCTAAAAATGAAAATAAATCAATAAAAGATCAATTTATTTGTAAATTACGAATTATAGAGATATGTATACCACCCCCGAGTATTTAAATATTTCATTATTCCCAATTTATCACTGATAGGAATTATATATATATATATATATATATATATATATATATATATATATATAGCGGATAATTAAATATGATTAGTCATTTATTATTCAACAAGATATATAAATACCCGCGATAAATCAACATTTTGTTTTCGCGTTGAATAAAATATTTTTATTTATTCTACTTTATCTTGTACAACGTAAAATGATATATATATATATATAGATAGATAGATATCTTATCACAATCAACAAATTATTTAAAATATATAATAATATCGATGTGTGACTTACGATTGATAGGTGTGCTTGGAGTTGCAGTTACTGAAAAAAAACCAAACAAATCGGAAGATTAGATAAGCTGAATGTTAAACGATTATCATTATTAAATTTATCATTGATTTTAATTTTCATTTTTAATTGTCTTATAATATTTTTTAAAATTCTATAAATATATATTTTATTTTCATTTTCATTATTAAAGTTTCACACACATACGTCCAATGCCAATTAAAAGTATTATTTGTATAAATTAAATTCAATTTTGTAATAATTTCAGTACATCTGTAAAAAAAAAAAAAAAAAGAAATAAGATTATTTAATAAACATTTTTCTGAATTATACATAACTTTCTAGTTAAAAGTTTAAATAATATAATTTGAAGCTATTAAAAATGAAATAAATGAAACGAAATGTAGTTTGAAATCATTTCAAATACATTTAAGATAAAAACGAGACTTCTTTTTTTTTTACATGTTTTATTATTTTATATTTGATTGTATTTCATTTTAATTACCATGACTAATAACATACGTAAACATTAACATTTTAGAAATATATATTTGATGAAATAAAAATGTCTAAAAAGAAAAACCTATTTTATACATATTTACGAATAATGTTGGTACATGCAATGCTAATTATGCTAATACTTTAGTTCAAATATATAAACATTGCATATACATCCAGTACAAATATTTTAATGCAAAAAAAAAAAAAAAAAAGAAAATCATTGTATTTCTCTCCTTTCACTTTTGTTCAATTAAATGAAATAAAATCATTGTTGATATCGACTATATCAAGTTAATAACAATAAAGAGAAAATCTTAAATTAATAGTTTCGAAGTAAGATAGATAGAGATAGAAAAAGAGAAAAAGAGAAATAGAATGAAAAGGAAAAAGATTGAATAGAATTGCGAGTCTTTGTATAATTTTCAATTTTTTTTTTTTTTTTTTTTTTTTTTGGGTGAGTACGAATCGTATTACACGAGGAAGATCTCTTCTTCTTCTTCTTCTTCCTACTTCGTTTTTTTATTTCTCTTGAACCTTCCAAGACGTCGTTTCCTAATAAGCGAACCGTGTCGCGTCTACTTCCTTTCAGGTACAGCCAACCGTACGAAGAAAAAAAAAAGAAGTGAGCGAGATGGAGAGTTGTAAATGCGCGACTAAAAAGGCGACACGAATCTTGGGGAATAATAACGTCGAGACTGTGAATGACGAAGATGACGTTATTTCGAAGAACGAAAAGTATCTCTTTCACCACCCATCCACCCACTTCCAACCCCTTCCCTTTACGCCTCTTACCTCACACAGTTCCACCATTATCTTCTCTCTCTCTCTCTCTCTCTTACGATTCCTTTTTACAAAAGCATTTTTTTTTATCAGGCAAATTTATCATAGGACGCTTATTTCTGTCTTTTTCTTCTTTCTAAATAAAAGAATCTTTTTTTTTTTTATTTTTTTTTTTCCTAGTTTACTAATTATTATTTTTTTCTTCTTTTTAATATAAATTTAAAATTCTACTTTATTATTACATAATTATATATTATCCTTTAATTATATGTATATATATTTGTATACCCCCCTTAATTATATATATGTATATATATTTGTATATCTTAATTATATATATATATATAGTAGTATATTTGTATATAGTATCTAGTACTACATATACTATATATACAATTAAGGTAGTAATATAATACTACCTTATATACTATAGTACTATGGTATATAATATATATGTATATAGTATATTTTATTTTAATTTATTTTTTTTTGTATATATTATTATAATTGTATGTAGTATTATAATTTATTTTTTTATATATAGTATTATAATTGTTATACTTTAATTATATATATATATATATATATATATATATATATATATACATAGAATAATTTAATATTTATAGAAATATATTATATGTGCAAAGAATGATCTGTGATTATAAATTTAAAATAATATTTGATATTTAATTAAATTTCTGACTTTTGCGAGTTTTTCTGAAAGAAAAAAAAAAAAATAACACGCGCGCGATTCTTCCTAAAAATGAAATAATTACTTTTACTTGTTAAAAGATTATTATTATTATTATTATTAAAAAAATTGTATAACAGAGAGATATACGAATCATAATAATTTTTGTAATAATGCATAGTAAGATAACATTAGGAAGATTAATAATTATTAATAGTTAGAGATATAGACATGATGAAAAATAAGAAGATATTTCAAGGTCTCCTAGTTTTTCTACTTTCTCTACGAGGTGAAGGAAACGAGCTTGTGTCCCTTTCGTAGTATACACATATGTATATGTTAAAAATGAAAGAAAGTCGGGGATAGTTCGGTTCATTTTTGACCTACTTGGAAGATGCGAATAGTCTGGTATCTCTTAGGAGGCTCTCGTTAACTAGGCTAGTTAAGGGTGAAAAGTGGAGCAGATTACTTTTCTGAGTTTTCTACACCACCCCTATTTCCTTCATCTCTTTTACTTTTTCTTTCTTTCTTTCTTTCTTTCTTTCATTCTTTCTTTCTTTCTTTTACTTTCGATCCTTTTTATTTTTTTTATATTTCTTTTTCTTTTTTTCTTTTTATAATCCCAATTCCTTACTTTAAATCTCTCCGACGAAATCTTTCTACTCGAGGCTCTTCCTTTTTTCCCCTTTTGAATGTTTTATTTTTCTTTCTTTTTTTCTTTTTCTTTTCACGTTTCAAAAAGGCGAAAAGAATTTCCTCTTTAATCTGACATTATTTCTGTTCAAAAAGTGGAGAAATTTTTCATCAATGGATTTTTATATAAATCAGGGAAGGGTGGGTAACCCCTTAACACACGTCGAACGTGTTTTTTGGATTTTTGATCGATCATAACCGATGGGAAACGATTTTTTAAAGACAGATTTAATATTGAACCAAAAAAAAAATATATATATCTTGTCAGAATATGAAATAATAATTTTTTAAATCTGATTTAATCATACAAGTCGAAGAATTTGTAGACAAATTTTTTGGAAATACACTTTATCAAGTAAAATATTTCAATATCATCAAATGTAAGGAACATATATTTATTCTTGTTTTAATAATATCTATCACATACTTTTATGTAAATTTAGCTTTTTTCATGTTTACAATTTGAAAAGATCAAACACACAACGTTCGGTACTTAGTGATTCTCATATTAAAAATTCATTATCATTACCTTTGTCTGAATACGCACTAAATTATAAACGTTTGATTGGAAGCACACAGATGTGTGCTCTAACTTTTTCCACTAATTATATTATAAGAAAATAAAATTTAACCTGTATTTTTGTTTTCTCTGTGACTACTTTTTAATAATTAAATAATAATAAAATATCACGTTGGTTAAATATCCTATTCTCTCCCCCCCTCCTCCCAATAATACACAAGGTACGTGTTTAAATGTGTTAAATGACAACAACAAAATATTAACAAATAGATTGCGACACATTTTTATGATAAAAAAAAAATCATTTGCATATATAATTAACTTGGTCAACTATTACTCTAAATGAACGAGTAAAAAATATTATCTAGAATAGATAAATAGATGAAAAAAGAAGAAGGATAGAGTAAGAATAAATATTTTAACGCAATGTTAAATACACTGGTTTGTTATTTGAAATTTAATTTAAATGTTGTCTTTTATATTTGAACACTTTTGACATAACACTTTCGTTTGAAATCACTAGACATTTTTAAAATAATTTTACTTGACAATAATTCATTATTCTTTTTCAATGTAACCACATTTCCAATGAAATATTGTAAACTAGACACCTTATTATAACGAAATTAATGTTTCATTATACTTCATACACTATAATGTTGTTATATGCAGTTACAAACTATTGTTTTTTTTTATAATCATTCGTTTTGTGTTTACTACGAGCTTTGCTTCGACATAAATCGTTGTATTGTATTTATCAATGAATAAAATAGAAAATCAATGAGGAAAAATCGATAGAAAATCTCTTCCCTTTTATCTCTCTCTTTCTCTATCTTTCATTCTTTCTTTTACTATCGTTATATTCCGATACGCTGATGTCGTTTTTCTTGTTTAACTTTTTTCCCTTTTTTCTTTTTTTTTTTTTTTGTTTTTCCTCCCTATTGCCGATCGTTTCCGCGTCTCTTGTTTTCTCGTTACTCGCATCGGCTAACGCATATATTGTTCTTCATTTAAATCTAACGTTAATTACGAGCTCCTGTGCGTTTCCCCCGGTTTTTTTTTTTCTGTGTGTTCCTTGTGTAAAAAGAATAATATAAAAGAAAAAAAAAAAAAAGAAGGAACTAATAAACAGAAAGAAAGAATAGAACGGGAAAAGGGGGAGGGGGAAAAATGAGAAAGAGAAAGAGAGAGGAAAAATTTAAATAAAAACGAACAAAAAAAAATAGAAAATTAAAGAAAAAAAGGAGTAGTAATTTTTTAACGTCACAACCAAGCCAACGAACGAACGAACCAACTAGCCAACGTCGTTCTTAACTAATTTTCCCTTTTTGTTTTTTTTTTCGATCCACTTTTATTTTTCTCGGTCGTTCTTTAATTACCATCGTCTCTCGAATTGCTCTCTTCTTAAGATTTACGCGTAGCGCCTTTTTTTTTTTTTTTTAACGCTAAGGAATATCCTTTCATTTCCTTTTTACGAGATTTATGCTATTAGTTGAAGCTTTTTATTAAATATCTTTGACGTGTTTATTCGTTTTTCTTCGTGGAGTTCTATATTTGTGTTTGTACGTTATATACCGATTACTGTATTCTACGTTACACTGTACTTACAGTTTTTCTCTTATCTTGATACAAAAAATGATACTTATGATTATAATTATAATTACTGTATGTTGATTTATCATCTTTTTTTAAATAGATGATTTTCAATACATCGACCAGCATTTTCCAAAAATTCTGTATAATGATTGAACATTTTCTAGATTGATCGAAACTTGTTATAGGAATTCTATACAGACATTTTTTCAAATAACATTTCTATACAGTTCCCGAGTTATTTTATTAAAA